ACAGTAAAGTTGCAATTGTTCACATTGGAAGGTCTTATCAGGAAGCGATAATATAGTAGCTTGCATAGACAGTTCTTTTGACTTGTCTCTTTGTTCTCTGTTCTTACGTGTTTGCAGCTGCAGATTGCAACCTAACACGTAAGCACTATTAAGCTTGCTGAAGGTTACAAAATGGAGTGACTTATGCTATATTCCAACACTGAAGGCAGGACAAGAAGCAACGGATGGAAACTAATCAAGGAGAGAAGCAACCTAGAGCTAAGGAGAAATTTCCTGACAGTTAGAACAATTCATCAGTGGAACAATTTGCTTCCAGAAGTTGTGAGTGCTCCAACACTGCAAGTTTTTAAGAAGAGACTGGACAGTCACTTGTCTGAAATGGTATAGGGCTGTGGTGGCGAACCTATGGCACGCGTGCCACAGATGGCATGCAGAGCCCTCTCCTTGGGCATGTGCGCTGTCACCCGAGTCCTAGGCCTTTAACTGGGTTTTATAAAACCTTTTCGCTTTAGGCCTCCGTCGCCGTGCGCAAAAAAAAAAGGACCAATCAATCAATTTCAACATATCGCGGGGGGAAAAAAGATCTCGCAAAGTTGGAATTGATTGATTGAACTTTTTAATCCCACCCAGTCTACCGTTACCACCGCAGCCATGCCCACCCAATGATCCATGCCCACCCAGTTGGCCACACCCACCCAGTGGGCCATGCCCACCCGGCACCCGATGATACATAAGTGGGTTTTGGGTTGCAGTTTAGGCACTCGGTCTGTAAAAGGTTCGCAACCACTGGTATATAGGGTTTCCTGCCTGAGCAGGGGGTTGGACTAGATGACCTCCAAGGTCCCTTCCAACTCTTTTGTTCTCTTCTGCTATTATTTCAAAGAATGGTAATGCTCCCAGTTGTCACATGCTGTTTTTAGGCTAGTATAATTACTCAAGCCTCCAGGAGCTGTGGATTCTCCCACATTGGAGTTTTTTTTTAAAAGGAGATTGGACAAGCATTGGTCTAAAACTCAGCAAGGCAAATCTAGCCTTTCTCTGTCTGAAACTCTCTGTGTCTCTTAAACTTTGCTTCTTACCTACTGAAGCCCACCTTCCTCCCCCTTTTATGAATTCCTTCCCTGGAGGACGTCCCCCATAGAGCTTTCTCACTGTCATCTTATTCTTTATGGCCAGGTCACAATATCTCTAGCTCCTTCTGCTGACTTTGAGGCAACTGCTATGGACAAACAGCAAGAATCTTACTGCATTTGTGCAAATGGGAGGAGAACGGTGTCCTGGATGGTGACCCCCAAATCACTTGGTACGTAGTAAAAGTTCATTGCCTTGAATTATTTATAAAAGTAGTAAAAATGAGGTAAGGCCACACTTGGAATACTGCATCCGGTTTTGGTCACCGCGATGTAAAAAAGATGTTGAGACTCTAGAAAGAGTGCAGAGAAGAGCAACAAAGATGATTAGGGGACTGGAGGCTAAAGCATATAAGGAACGGTTGCTGGAATTGGGTATGTCTAGTTTAATGAAGAGAAGGACGAGGGGGGACATGATAGCAGTATTCCAATATTTCAGGGGCTGCCACAAAGAAGAGATAGTCAAGCTATTCTCCAAAGCACCTGAAGGCAGGACAAGAAGCAACAGATGGAAACTAATCAAGGAGAGAAGCAACCTAGAACTAAGGAGAAACTTCCTGACAGTTAGAACAATTAACCAGTGGAACAACCTGCCTCCAGAAGCTCTGAATGCTCCAACACTGGAAGTTTTTAAGAAGAGACTGGACAGCCATTTGTCCGAAATGGTATAGGGTTTCCTGCCTGAGCAGGGGGTTGGACTAGATGACCTCCAAGGTCCCTTCCAACTTTACTATTATTATTATTATAAACAAAGTTGAACTAGTCAGTTAGGGTTGGGGGCTGAGAGCAAGAAGAGCCGTTTTCATCTTCATAGAAGATGATTTCCAACTTTCTGGACCAAGAGAGGTTTTAAGAGATGAGTAATGTTTTCATCCTCTTATCTCTTGTGGTAAAACTGAGACAGAGGATGGGGACAATGGTGGTGATGATTGTAGTTTAAACTCGCATGCCACAGAACCTTCAAGATTCATGGTGGTTTACAATCAGTTTTTAGTCATTTTTTAAAAAAAAGTTTTATGTGAAATTGGGGCTGAACAGCCATTCTTGGATAGACTACCTACTTGTTTCAGATAAGGATGAAATTGAGGTAACACATTTAACAAAGTCAGAGAAGATTCAAGGTTGTTACAGGAATTCAACAATTCAAACCAACAATTCAAGCAAATGACACTAAGCTGGCAGGAATAGCCAACACCCCAGAAGACAAGCTCAGGATCTAAAAAGATCTTGACAGACTTGAACAGTGGACCCTACCCAGCAACATGAAATTTAATGTGGAAAAAAGCAAGGTTTTACACTTAGTCAAGAAAAACCAAAGGTACAAGTACAGATTAGGCAAAACCTGGCTCAAAAACAGTAACTGTGAGAGGGACCTTGGAGTCCTAGTGGACAATCACTTAAACATGAGCCAGCAGTGTGTGGCAGCAGCCAAAAAAGCTAATACAATCCTTGGTTGTATAAACAGAGGCATAGAAAAAAAAAATCATGTGAAGTACTAGTTCCGCTTTATAAAGCCTTAGTAGGGCCACACCTGGAATATTGCATCCAGTTTTGGTCACCACGTAACAAAAAAGATGTTGAGACTTTGGAAAAAGTGCAAAGAAGAGCAACTAAGGTAATTAAAGGCTTGCGCAGGTGCATTATGCCACCGCCACCGCCTGGAGCAGCAGTCCTGCCCAGCACAAAGGAAGCAAAGCGGCCGACTAGCAAGCTTCAGTAGAGCACACCCAGGTGGTAGAGCACACCCATGCCAGCAAGCCAAATGCCACCCCAAGCGAGGTAAGCCCCATCAGCGCCATAGCCCCCCAGTCCCAGTTAGGATTGCATGCCTCTCCCCCATCTCTGCTGGGCCTGGGCGGCCATGATGCCGATGGGGATCTGGCTTTCCCTGCTCGGGGTGGCCTTTGGCTTACTGGGCATGCTCTACCACCTCTATTCGAGCTTGCTTTGCCTCCTTTGTGCTGGGGGAGCTGCTGTTCCAGGTGGTGGCAGCGGCCTAATGGACCTGCACGAGCTGCTGGCGGTGGCGCGTGTGCCTGTAGAGAGGGCTCTTGAGTGCTGCCTCTGGCACACGTGCTATAGGTTCGCCACCAGTGGACTAGGGTACTCAAGCCATGCCCATGAGTGCTGCCTGACCAATAGGAAAAGTGCTTTGATGACCCAAAAGCTCATGGTATACCAAGTAGGACTGGAACAAGTGCATCATCTGTCGTCATTTCTCTTAACTCATGGTTGTGTTGCCAGTTCCCAGTTCTGCTAAGATTATCAGCTGACTGGGTGAAGAAGTCTTTTGGTAAGAATGTTGTGTGAAAATATGTCAGGGAATTGTGTAGCTGGTGTCCCAAATGGAGTCAGAGATGCTGACCCAAACTTTAGGTTTATCTAAATAAATATATTTACATTCTACACCAAGCAAGATAGTCAGGCAAACAGGAGCATCATGAGGTAAATCACAGAGCAAACAGAAGAAAAAGGCGGGGAAAAAGGGAAACTCCCCTCAACGCCCATAGCAACCAATCGCAGTGCAGATTGCCTCAGGCAGGATCCCGCACTCTCCAACCAATCAACTACAACTGTGTGTTCTGGCTCATTGTACAACCCCACTGTTTCTGCTACTTAGTTTAAATATCTTAACAAACTCCCCGAAGAAGAGACAATATTCAAAAGGTTGGCTCAGGAATTCTGGGAGTTGAAGTCCACGAGTCATAAAAGAGCCAAGGTTGCCTATCCCAGGGCTAGACATAACCCTATCAGACCCTTTGGTATATTCTTATATACAATGGGGAATTATTTAGGGTGGAAAATCACTGTAGTTTATAGGATTCCATTCTATAAATCAGTGTCTGACCCAAATTTGTGTTTAAGTTGGAACCTGTGCTTACAAATGGACTATCTATTCCTAAAAATGGCAGATGGCACTGTCCTTCTTCAAAAGCGTTGAAGTGCTGACGACTCGCAATGCTTTCAGGATCTATTGAAAACTGGCTGTATATTAAGACCGCACCTTCAGTGCTTAATCAGCTCAAGAAAGGAGAATGCTCTCCACCATTTTTAATAATAGGGAGACTGTTCAGATCTAGGGGTGGTCTTAAGTCAGACATCCTCAACTTGAGGACTGCTTATACGGCCTATTTGTGAACGGGTGACTTTTTGGTCCTAGGCAAAGTGAATTTCACAGCCAGTGCCGAGGCCATGAGCTCAGATCAGCTCTGTGGGAATGAAATAGTGGAGGTGCCCAGCATGAAGCGAAAAGATGTTGTGATCAAAACGCTTTTAGTTGAGGTAAGTGAGATGATTTAATCGTGGACTGGATGTGGTGAAAAATCATGCAAAAAAAAAGCACAAAAAACCCATGTTCTTGTTTTCAAATGCATTAAGTCCATTTTTAGCTGGTCCATTCCTGAAAATTAACTTGGGTCACCAGTCCATCTTTCCATTCGATGATTTTCGCTTTCCTAGAGTTATCACTCTCTGTTTCTTCTCAACCCCTAATAATAATTAACCTACTTGATGTTTCTCAATCTGGGCAACTTTAAGATGGGGGAATCTTTCCAGAATTTCCCAGGCAGCATGCAGTGTAGCAAGCTTTGGTCCAGTTTTGGTCACCGCGATGTAAAAAAGATGTTGAGACTCTAGAAAGAGTGCAGAGAAGAGCAACAAAGATGATTAGGGGACTGGAGGGTAAAGCATATAAGGAACGGCTGCTGGAATTGGGTATTTCTAGTTTAATGAAGAGAAGGATGAGGGGGGACATGATAGCAGTGTTCCAATATCTCAGGGACTGCCCCAAAGAAGAGGGAGTTAAGCTATTCTCCAAAGCGCTGGAAGGCAGGACAAGAAGCAATGGATGGAAACTAACCAAGGAGAGAAGCAACCTGGAACTAAGGAGAAACTTACTGACAGAACAATTAACCAGTGGAACAACCTGCCTCCAGAAGCGGTGAATGCTCCAACACTGGAAGTTTTTAAGAAGAGACTGGACAGCCATTTGTCCGAAATGGTATAGGGTTTCCTGCCTGAGCAGGGGGTTGGACTAGATGACCTTCAAGGTTTCTTCCAACTTTACTATTATTATTATTATTATTATTATTATTATTATTATTATTATTATTATTATTATTATTATTATTATTATTATTATTATTATTATTATTATTATTATTATTATTATTATTATTATTATTAGGTTGACTGGGGAATTCTGGGACTTGAAGCCCACACGGTGTAAAGCAGCCAAGGTTGAGAAACACTGGTCTACAGAATAAAAATCAAACCAATAGCACATCTATCCTAGATTATTGTATAACTTACTCAGATTTCATGAGCAGTGGTTCCTTTGTTGTTTAGCTCTCTGCCCAAAAAAGGTGATGGAAACAAAGAAGAAAGACTAAAAATGACACGGAGCTGCTCCCTATCATTTAAATAACGTAATCTTTAGCAATAGCAGTCGCATTTACATAGATTTATGCAGCCTGGGTTTTGTTTTGTTTTTTAGTTTCCAATGTTCAGCACTAACTTTTCCTTGTTCTTCTTTTCTGTCTGTCCTGGTGAAGCCTGAAGGGATTGAGAAAGAGGTGGTCTTCAACTCACTTCTCTGTTCTGATGGTATGGCTGCTTCTTCACGGTGCTTCTTCCCCGTCACAGCATTAAATGGATGAGAATGATTTGTTTTAGAGCAGAGGGGCCGAATATTTACTCCCCTTTCTGATAACGTGGAAGTATTTTTAAGTTTCTTTAAGCCAGCTGTAAACTTTATAGTTAGTTAAAGTGTCCAAGGTGCAAAAGTTGGCTTGAAACTCAACATTAAGGAAACCAAGATCATGGCATCCGGCCCTTTCAATTCCTGGCAAATAGATGGGGAAGAAATGGAGGTAGTGACAGACTTTATCTTCTTGGGCTCCAAGATCACCGCAGATGGTGTCTGCAGCCAAGAAATTAAAAGATGCTTGCTCCTGGGGAGGAAAGCTATGGCAAATCTAGACAGCATACTTAAAAGCAGAGACAGACATCACCCTGCCAACAAAAATACATATAATCAAGGCTATGGTTTTCCCAGTTGCAATGTATGGCTGTGAAAGTTGGACCATAAGAAAGGCTGAGCGCCAAAGAATTGAGGCCTTTGAACTATGGTGCTGGAGAAGACTCCTGCGAGTCCCCTGGACTGCAAGGCGATCAAACCGGTTAGTCCTAGAGGAGATCAACCCTGACTGCTCTTTAGAAGGCCAGATCCTGAAGTTGAAACTCAAATACTTTGGCCACCTAATGAGAAGGAAGGACTCACTGGAGAAGGGTCTAATGCTGGGAAAGATTGAGGGCAATAGAAGAAGGGGACGACAGAGAATGAGGTGGCTGGATGGAGTCACTGAAGCAGTAGGCGTGAGTTTAAATGGACTCCAGAAGATGGTAGAGGACAGGAAGGCCTGGAGGAACGTTGTCTATGGGGTCGTGATGGGTTGGACACGACTTCTCAACTAACAACAACAACAAAGGTGTCCATTTTGCCTTTTACAGCTGGCTTAAAGAAACTGACTTCCCTAGCTGAACTAGAACAGGGGTCCTCAACCCCAACTGGGGTGGGGGAGGAGCTGTGGTCCAGTACTGCTCCATGGCCCATTTGGAATCGGGCTGTGAAAGCGGCGGGCAAGTGTGTGTGCATGCATAGCTCCATTTGTGTGAGAGGTGGGCCCACGTGTCCTCCACTTGTGGAAATGGATATGGAAGTGGAAAGGTCCCTTCCAACTCTGCTATTCTGTATTCTAAGGAACCTGCTGGGCGGTGGGGAAGCATTTGTAGGACAAAATCAAAATTTGGTGTATTTGACAGCAGGAGGAAATGCTTGAAATTGAAATCAGAGGACCAAGTAATGGGTCCACTTTTAATTTAGGGGGTTTAGAGGGTTTGAGGTGTTTTTTTTTATACACTAGAGCAGTGGTGGTGAACCTATGGCTCAGGTGCCAGAGGCAGCACTCGGAGCCCTCTCTGTGGTCACACGTGCCGTTGCCCCAGCCTTGCCTCCCCCGCGACCCCCTCCTTTCCAGCAGCCCCCCTGAAGGAGAGTCGCCCTCGAGCGTGGCCCACACGGAGCAGCTCAGCCAAGGACATGGCAGCCAGGCAGCATAGACAAGACTCTGCCCTCATGCCCCATCATGCAGTTGATGTTGCAGGGCATAGGCAGAGGGTGTGGCCGCCATAGTGCTCCTGGGCTGCCTGAGCGATGTGCGGTGGGCCCTGGAGGCGGTGAGTGGTCCTGTGGGCAGGTGGGGCGGGGGATGGGGGGCAGAGCAGGGGCGGGGCAGGGGGTGGAGCGGGGATGGGGCCAGTTTTTGGGCACACGGTCTCTAAAAGGTTCACCATCACTGCGCTAGAGATTCTAGAACTTTCCACATCTCTCTTCTCACATGCTAAAGAGACTGGCTAGAATATATATATATGTCTACATTATACCCAGTAAAGACAAAGGATATAATTTGATTCCCCATTTTTATAAAAAAATAAATAAAATCAAGCAGCAGATACAAAAAGAAGACACTTTATATGTATCTGGCCCGCAGAAATCAAGTCAGAAACAGATTGCAATTGATCTGCTCTCAGCCAGTAATTGGCAATTACCTCAGAAAACATGTCAGCGGAGCTGGCTGGCTTGTTTTTTTTTTTGCTGGCAGTCAATGTCCGGTTGTCCTTCTATGGCAACTGAAGATGGCGATGATGTCACAACACATGCTCCGCTCCATAATGGCATCACAATGCAGAAAAGTAAAGGAGGGGCTTGTGCAATGGTGTCATTGCAGAACAGGGTTTCCTATATTGTATCTCTTTTTGTTCTGGATATCCCAGAGAAGATAGAAACCCTGTAAGGCAGCCGAAACCATCTAAGTTCTGTTTTCTTCCAGGAGATGTACAGTCAGAACCTCTTTCTTTGAGGGTGCCAGAAAATGTTGTGGAAGGCTCTGCCAGGGCAACCTTTTGTGTACTTGGTAAGTATAGGAACCCTCTTCCTAGCTCTCCCCCTTCCTTCTCTTCTTTTTCCTCTAATCCAGACATGTCAAAAACAAGACCTGGGGGCTGGATGCGGCCCATGAAGTGGTTTCATGTGGCCCGCGAAGGCATCCTGGAAACAGTGAGGGAACGGCCCCCGCTGCCTTGGCCCTGGCCCTGGCCCTGGCCCAAGCCAGCTGGGAGCCAATGTACAATTTTGTGGTGGCCATCTATGCTGAAATGCATTCAGTCTTAGCTCCACAAGGCCATCTGGAAACAGTGAGGAAGCAGCCCCTGCCGTGTCAGCCCCACCCCCTGGGTGCAGTCTGGGGAGGTGTCACTCTTTGTGAGGAATGAAGAAATGGACCGTGCCTTGGCACATGCCCCGGTCCCACCCCCTTCTGCCAGAGACCCTCAGATCTGTCCCACTCCTGCCCAGGCCCCCACAGCACCCTTGACGTGAACAATGTAGAGCTGGCCATGCCAACCCAGTAGGCCACACCCACTCCATTCACGCCCACCCAGTAGGCTGCACCCACCCTGGCCACACCCATCTGGCCCCCCCAAGGGCAACTGCAATGCTGATGCGGCCCTCAATGAAATTGAGTTTGACACCCCTGCTCTAATCTACTTTTTGTGTTGCAGAAGTTATGCTTCTACCTCTTTTGCCTCTTCTCCTCAGTATCACCTGCCTTATTAAATCAAAAAGGATCTTACAGATCATTTAGTGCAGGGGTGTCAAACTGCCAGCCCGTGGGCTGGTTGCACCACACCCAGACCAGCTCCAGCAGTGCAAAAAAAGTCGTGATACGTCGCAACACGTCACATGACGTGGTGAGTTTGGCAACCGTGATTTAGTGCCACTTTAGTTCAGCATTTCTGACAGCCTCTGTTTGAAGATCTTCCCCAGTGAAGGAGAACTTGCTACTTCATGTGGCAGCCTGTTCCTCTGGCTGCTGGCCGCTGACAGTGCGAAGAAATTCTCCTGAAATCAAAGCTTTTTCTTTGTAGTTTTACCAGTGGCATGGTTTTGCCTCCAGAGGTTGTGGGTGCTGCATCACCAGAGATATTTAAGAAGGGACTGGACAGCCACTTGTCTGAAATGGTATAGGGCAGTGATGGCGAACCTTTTAGAGACCAAGTGCCCAAACTGCAACCCAAAACCCACTTATTTATCGCCGGGTGCCAGGTGGGCATGGCCCACTAGGTGGGCGTGGCTGTGGTGGTCATGGCAGATTGGATGGGTGTGGCCAAGGTGGGCGTGGTCACCTCAATGTTGATCGTGGGGAGGGACACTTGTGGGGGTCGGGCAGGGTTGGGGGAGATCCAGAGGGTCTCTGGCAGGTGGGGCGTTAGGCAGGAGGCTCGTCCTCTGGGGTGAGGCGAGGTAAGGCGAGGCAGGGCGGGGATGCCATTGTCGCAGGGCAAGGCGAGGCAGGGGCCAGGGTGGCTGCTGCCTGACACCATCAGCCCCCACACACAGAGCCCAGCGAGTGTATGGGGGCCAACAGTGTCTGTCAGCAGCTCCACAGCCTGCCACTAGCAGTTCAGAGAAGCTGCTTCTGAGCTGGACGGCTGGCCAACAGCTGAGGAAGCAATGCAGTGGATTGTGCCCGGGAAAAGGAGAGCATGCGAGGCCAGGAGGGATGGGATGGGGGGAGGGAAACCAGCCGTGCTGGGATGCATCCAGTCACGTGGGACCTCAATGAGTTAGCAGGTGGCTGGTTGAAGAGGGATGGTTGCCATCTCCGGGGCATGGCGCGCATGCCCACAGAGAGGGCTCTGAGTGCCGCCTCTGGCACACATGCCATAGGTTCGCCACCACTGGTATAGGGTCTCCTGCTTGAGCAGGGGGTTGGACTAGAAGACCTCTGAGGTCTCCTCTGACTCTGTTAGTCTGTTATTCTACACAGTGAAATTTGCTGATTAAAATGTCAGGGGTTATCACACTCTGCTTCTTTGGCCATTGTTGGAGAGATTGCTGAACTAGATTAAAACCATTCTACCTGGAATTCTCAGTTTGGGTCATTTAGAGATGAGCAACACAAGCTCTCACAAGGTCAGGCTTAGACGTCTTTTGCCAACTCTCCACAAACCACGTCAACAACATCATTTAAACCACAGTTTCCCCAACCTTTTCAGGTTGGCGGGGGGGAGAGGGAAAGGGGGGGTGATTTCGTGTTGGGGGTGCGTGAGCACCTGCAGCATTCGCGGTAATGCTCTAGTGGGGCCGCAAGCACCCGTGATGATGCTTGCATGAGTGGGGCCACCAACGTCCACGAGGTTTGCACGAGTGGGGCCACAACCATCCTCGACACTCGCGCGAGTGGGCTCGCAAACACCCCGATGACGCTCGTGCAAGTGGGGCCATGAACACCCTAATGTGGCACTGCCTGTGCATCGGCCAGCTACTCACATGGTCCAATGGTGATTAGGCCACGGCCTGGTAGTGGGTCGCAGCCCACAGGTTGGATACTCCTGATTCAAACTATATCTGCCCTGGGAATGGCCAGAAACACACACAGGCATCCTTCTAAATGTCCATTCTTCTACAGTTTTACACTGTCATTTTTTTCCAGAGTCATCTGTCTCTTCTTCAGAGGTTCTGGACTTGAGGTTCCCAACCTGCAACACACCCATTCCAAAATCTTCTAATTACCCCTATTTTCCACCTACCTCTTTCCCTACTGCAGGAGACATCCTCGGGGGAGCGATACAGAACCTTCATCAGCTTCTCAAGATGCCCTATGGCTGTGGGGAGCAGAACATGGCCCTCTTTGCCCCCAATATCTACATCCTGAACTACCTCAATAAGACTGGACAACTGACTGAGGAGATCAAATCCAAGGCCATCGGATACTTACTGGCAGGTGAGAAGCATCCCAGGTCAGTCCCACATGAATTCTCCCCTCCTTGTTTTCTTACTGAGGTTGGGAATTTCCAAAGGCTTGATCCACAGATTGGCCACTGGTATTGATTAAGGAAGGGGTGCAGTGGCCTAGTAGTTAAGCTTGTAGTTAAGCTTGTCAACCAGAAGGCTGGTAGTTCAAAACCCAAGTAACAGGTGATGGGATGAGCTCCTGTTCTTGCCCCAGATGTCAGAAAAGGCAGGCACAGCCACACTCCTCTGTGTATTAATGATTCACCGTGGAGATAGTTAATAGCATCAGATTTCTGGGTGTGCAGCTAACGAGTAGGCTGGCCTGGTCGCACAACAGTGAGGCACCGGTGAAGCGGGCATTTTCTGCATCGCATGAGAAAAGCACATCTTCCTTATCCTGTCCTTACCACTTTCTACAGAGGGTCGATCGAGAACATCCTGTCATATTGCATTACTGTCTGGTTTGGAAGCATTATTGCTTCAGACAGGAAGGCGGTGCAGAGAGTGGTGAGGATGGCAGAAAAGATGATTGGCAGTTCCCTCCCTTCCATCCAGGACATAGCATATAAGCGTTGCTTGAGCATGGTCCGCAGGATTGTCTGGGACACTACACATTCTCTTCATGACCTGTTTTCCTTGTTACCTTCTGGAAGGGGGCTTCATGATATCTGAAGCAGAACATCCAGATTCAGTCACAGTTTTGTTCCATGTGGCATTGTGAACTCTCAAGCTTCTTTCCACTGTATATTCAAGATGGACAGTGATTAATATTTATAGGTATTTATATGTAAGGGTGTAGGTGTATACATATGTATGAATATATAGCATGTTTATATGTATGCTATGTATGTGTACACTTCTGAGAGCAGGCAACAGAATTTCATTTTTAATGTGTTCCAGTGTGCCCACAGTAAAAAAAATCATAATAAAGATTATCTTATCCTGCTGACATAGCAGTTTGAAGCATACAAATGTGAATAGATAAATAGATAGTACCGTATATTCCGGCGTATAAGACGACTGGGCGTATAAGAGGACCCCCGACTTTTGAGAAGATTTTCAGGGTTTAGAAAGTCATCCTGCCAGCGATACATGCGTTCGCTGATCCCTCCCCTCCGCCTTTGGGATACGGCAGCCCAGCCTCCACTCCACACCCGACCGAGAACCGAGGCAGCCTTAAACGTGCAATGCTGACAGTGACGGAGAAGGAATGCTTAAAAGAGCAAACGTGAGGCCAAAGGTGCGCAGCTGCAGTAGGGGCCAGATGTTTCCCGGGGTTATATTGGTTCCTGGCCGGGCTTCTCTTTCGCGGAGGGAGTCACACTTCCGGGATTATTGTCATTAAAGTCTAAGAAGGCAACTGCGAAAACGTTTTGACCGAACCGCGAAACTCATTTTGCTCATGCACATTTGTAAGACTGCCGCCTAAAACTATTTTGTGACGTTATTGGATATAGATTAAGCCGGTGTTGACTTTTAGTGATTGCATAGATTTCCCCCCCCCAAAAAAAAGAACTACTGTATATTCCGGCGTATAAGACGACTGGGCGTATAAGACGACCCTTGACTTTTGAGAAGATTTTCAGGGTTTAGAAAGTCGTCTTATACGCCGGAAAATATGGTACTTCACCGGGAAGGCAACAGTGTTCAGCGCGCCTCAGCATATAGTCATGCTAGCCACATGAGCATGGAAGTGTCTTCAGACAATGCTGGCTTCCTTGGCTAGAAAACGGAGGCCAGCACCATCCTCTAGACTAGAGTCAGACTTTTACTTTTATTGATTAAGGATCCCAAAGATGCTTTTTCACAAGGCAAGTGGACTTTCTTGTTTTTCTTTGAAGACATTTCACTTCTCATCCAAGAAGCTTTTTCAGCTCTGACTAGATGGTGGGGAGTAGAAGGATTTATACTCCTTGCAGACAGCTGGTTATTTGCATTCTTTTAGAGAGTTGTTGAAGCCACCTGGAGGTTTATCTGTGTCCTCAGGGTCACCTGATTAGTGCAAATGGGTGTGGAACCTTCTTGGAACTGTTGAAAGGACTAAGTTGTCGACTGGAGATAGACGATGTTGTATCCCTCCCCCTCTGTTGAGAGAGGGCTGTTCAGTTTGGCATAGATGGCCTCTTTGACCCCTCTTTCAAACCAGCGGTCCTTTCTGTCCAAAATGTGGACTTTGCTGTTTTTGAAATCCTTCCATTCCCTACCATCCAGTCAGACCTGAAGAAGCTTCTTGGATGAGAAGCGAAACGTCTTCAAAGAAAAACAAGAAAGTCCAGTTGCCTCCTGAAAAAGCATTTTTGGGACAACTATGACCTGGATGACTGAGAATTTCAATAGATACTTATTGATTAAGGATGTTGTAAATTAGGTCAGGTTTCATTGGCTGAGTCACATTGGAACGCTTCAACCAAATACCTTCCCCTTGGGTCATCCTATAGCAGCTGACAAATGCCAGAGAAGAAATTAGAAATATAAGCAGAAATGGATCAAGTTGGAAAGGAGTGCGTCCAACAGTTATTCTGAAATTGGTACACTCATAGGGAAGTGCTATTTATTGGGAAAAGAAGCACAACGGCAAGCACAACAGCTAATGCTTAAGTTGTAGTTTGTGGGAATTTCTGTCCATCAACCAGCCCTGTCTGGTTTAATCCTGGTTTGATATCAAATTGGCTTAGAAAGTTGAAGACGCTCGTCGAATTGGATTTGAAAGGGGTTTTGCGCATGCCTTTTTGCCCCACCACTCATGTTCATCTTCTGCTTCAGGCTATCAAAGGCAACTGAACTACAAGCATTCTGATGGTTCCTACAGCACCTTTGGAGAAATGAGCTCAGAGGAAGGAAATACCTGGTGAGATTTCTTTGTTGTATGAAAAAATAATGCTCAGCGTGGCTGTTCCTCTCCCCTTCTCACTAACCACAAAAGCTAAAAGCACTTGGTAGCACTTGGAATAAGAAAATCAGAAGGCTGAGAGCTAAAGTAGGAAGTTCGAAAAAGCATTGTGGAACAAGGTAATGGCCAGATAGCCTCCATGAAGGTAATCCTCAGTAAATGTAATTTGGGACCAGCAACTCCATCACCCAGTAGTGTGGTCATTAAGGGGGAAAAAATCACATGACCTTGTTGACTTGGTTGAGTGGTTGCGGTCATTAAGCAAATCAAACACTGTCCTTAAGTACAACATCACCTGATTGTGATTTGCGATTTCCCACCGGCTTCCCCATTGACTTTGCTTGTTAGAAGCCAGCAACAAAGATTGCACTTGGCCATCACATGACCACAGGAATGTTGTGATGACCACAGCTTTGAGATCATAAGTCTTGTTCCGCACCATAGTAACTTCAAAAGGTCGCTGAACCAGTCATCTCTAAGTGAAGAGTGCCTATATTGTTGCCAAGATAGTTACATGAGACACCTAAGTGAAGTTGCCAGGAGCTGAATGCAGCTCAAGGAGCTTTTAATTTTTTTTTAGAGGAAATGAAACATTCTAAATAAGAGGTGCAATAACTATGTGAATGGGGGAAATGCTGGCAGCTCTATGTGGGAGTGGGGCTGGGGGGAGGGAGTGTCCTATCCCTCTCTGCCAAGGCATACACAAAAAACTTTTTACAATGTAAGATGTATACTCAGAAGATCTGGGAAACCTTACAGTCCATAAGCCTGACCTCTGAGCATGTTACACTCAATGGAAATGGGATTCTGGTAGTCAACAATGCAGGGGTGGGTACCTGCTTATTGCTCAAATACCCTTTTAACATTTGTAAGGAGGGGACTTTTCAAAATAGGTTGAAGCCGTATCACCCTTATGTGTGTGACTGAGAAGGATTTTCAGGTGGGAACCAGGATATGCATTGTTTAAAAAACCTTGATTATAATTGTTTTAGAGTGTGTCAAGTCAGGGTACCAGTGTCAAGGAACCCCCCCCCCCAAGGATTGAAGGATCATTGATTTCATCCCTTTATATTATATCCCTCAAAGGAACTGCATCTACAAGGAGGGAAGTGTGTAGTGGAGTGCCCCAGGGCTCTGTTCTGGGCCCAGTGCTCTTCAACATCTTCATCAATGATATTGATGAGGGGATAGATGGGGAACTCATCAAATTTGCAGATGACACCAAGCTGGCAGGAATAGCCAACACTTCAGAAGACAGGCTTAGGATACAGAAGGACCTGGCCAGACTTGAACACTGGGCGCTATCTAACAAAATTTAATTTAATGGTGAAAAAAGTAAGGTTCTACATTTAGGCAAGAAAAACCAAATGCATAGGTATAGTATAGGGGGTCCCTTGCTCAATGGCAGCAACTGTGAGGGGGATCTCGGAGTGGACAGTCACTTAAATATTAGCCAGCAGTGTGCTGCAGTTGCCAAAAAAGCCAACACAGTGCTAGGCTGCATTAGTAGAGGGATAGAATCAAGATCACGTGAACTATTAATACCACTTTATAACGCTTTGGTAAGGCAACACCTGGAATACTGCATCCAGTTTTGGTCACCACAATATAAAAAAGTTGTTGAGACTCTAGAAAGAGTAGAGAAGAGCAATAAAGATGATTAGGGGACAAGAGGCTAAAACATTTAAGGAACAGTTGCTGGAATTGGGTATGTCTAGTCTAATGAAGAGAAGGATGAGAGGTGACATGATAGCAGTGTTCCAATATCTCAGGGGTTGCCACAAAGAAGAGGGAGTCAAGCTATACTCCATGGGGCCTGAAGGCAGGACGAGAAGCAACGGATGGAAACTAATCAAGGAGAGAAGCAACCTGGAACTAAGGAGAAACTTCCTGACAGTTAGAACAATTAACCAGTGGAACAACCTGCCTCCAGAAGTGGTGAATGCTTCAACACTGGAAGTTTTTATGAAGAGACTGGACAGCTATTTGTCTGAAATGGTGTAGGGTTCCTGCCTGAGCAGGGGGTTGGACTCGATGACCTCCAAGGTCCCTTCCAACTTTATTATTATTATTATTATTATTATTATTATTATTATTATTATTATTATTATTATTATTGTTGTTGTTGTTGTTGTTGTTGTTGTTGTTGTTGTTGTTGTTGGTGGTGGTGGTGGTGGTGGTGGTGGTGGTGGTGGTGGTGTTATTCCAAGGCAAGAGAGGCCATTTCTAAGGCTCCTGAAAAAGATCTGTATCAGAAATTTAGTTTGTTCAGTAAGCGGTCAGATCTTCCAAGATGGTCCTCCAGGGAATAGTTTTCCTTATTCTGTGTGAAGGAAACAATTCTTTGTGGACCAAGAAGGCCCCCTTGTGAAGAAGGTTTCACACTAGAAGAGTTGATGCAAAGAAAAATGAAAGCTCTCTTACATTCTGGGCTATCTTGTAGGTTGACAGCTTTTGCGCTGAAGAGTTTCACTCAGGCGGTGCCCTACATCCCCGTGCAACAAAATTATATCACTGATGCTCAGACTTCACTGGCACTCAGGCAGTTGGAAGATGGTTCCTTCCTACAAAGAGGGTCTCTGCTGAACAACGCACTAAAGGTACGGAGGGGGGAATATTTGTTGGATGATAGTTTTGAGTATGGTTTTGGGGGAGATGAGGTCAGCGTCAAGCTTCTTTCAGACCAGAAAGCAATTCAACGGATAAACAATCTTCTGGGAACTTTTAACAAGTGCATTTATTGTAGAAAAGATAGGAAGTCATTATGGAAGAATTCTAGAGATTGCAGTGCATCAAACCGTGCATATAGTGAAATCAGTGTTCAAATTTATGTGCTAAGAGTTGTGCAATAAGCTGTGAACTGTGATTCACAATTGGGATGGAAGACCTGGTTTCCATCTGTTTCTTGTACTTGTAATTGACAGGTCTGATATTTTATGATTATTTTATTTATATTACATTATTTTATTATTTTATTATATCTTATTCTATTTATTACTAGCTGTACCCAGCCATGCGTTGCTGTGGCTCAGTCTGGTAAAAGCGTGTGTTGCTTTTACGTCCAACAGATGGCACTGTTTTTTTAAAAAAACATGTTTTTACCTGTCACAGGTGTGATATCTATATAATATAGGTACATATAAACACGTGCGTATTCGAATGCAACATTGTGTCAAAATTTCAAAGCAATCGGTGAAGAACTTTCGGAGATTTAAGATTTTGAACAAATGAACATTTACATTTTTATTTATATAGATTGTTGTTATTATATTGTTTTATTATATTTTTAATTTTATTTATTAAGAAAACTTATAAAACCACCCAACTCATGGTGATACCACCCTTCCTCCCTTTTTTTCTTTCTCCCTTCCTTCCTCCCTCCCTCCCTCCCTCCCTCCTTAATTCATTTCCATTCTGTTCACTTTTCTATCGTGCTGATAAATATATACCTTTTGATTGGAAAAACAATTAAAAAATAGGATGGCAATTTGCTGGGAGACCTGTTGACAAGATTGGGGTTGCCAATCAAGGGCTGGAAATGATAATGCTCTCACACTGGGGATAAATTTTGCATAGTCTAATGATCTACAGCAGGGGTCTCCAAACTTGGCATCTTTAAGACTTGTGGACTTCAACGCCCAAAATTTCCCAACCAGCCATGATGACTAGGCAATTCTGAGAGTTGAAGTCCACAAGTCTTAAAGTTGCTGAGTTTGGAGACCCTTGACCCCTACTGGTATGATTGTGCAAAATACAATATTTCCATAGAGCAGGATTTTCTTTTCTATTTTTTTTAATGCAATGAGCGAGTTAGTCCTCTCTTACTCCGAGACTATCCTTTAGTTTAGGGCCATCATATGTGGGCTGAAAAATTCCCAATGACCACTAGGTTGGAAGCAAAGGGGGTGCAATTTCTGTACCCCCTTTGCCGCCCCCTTGTGGCTTAGCAAATGGTCTTAAGTCACTTAGCCACGTTGCCTCTTCTTTAAGCATCAAGGTTTTGATTATGACCAATTGGGGAAGTGGTAGGAGCCGTACCAGAAGGCAGAAATGGAGAGTTATACTGCCTAAAATAAGATGAGGCTTCAGCAAAGGGCTGTTGAAGGAAAAGTCTTCATCATGGTTCAGTCCAAGCCGGGAATAAACAACATGGCGACTGCTTTAGAAAGAAGGTTGCAGTTTATTGAAGAGGAGAGCCAGACAGGAAGATGGCTCTGGAAGAAAAGAGAGAGAGCACATGTAGGGAGTGGGTTTTTATACCCTCTGGAGCCTTTTGTTTGGAGTTGTCTCCTGTTCCTGTTTGAGGCTTTGTATTTCCTGTGTGATGTATTCTGACCTGAGTTTGGGTGTGCCCTTTGGCATCTGTGGGTTAATCCTATTATGTCTTGTCTTAGAGTTTGGGTGGGGTATGTAGATTTTAGGTGTCTTTGTCTTCCTAAGCTCCTAGCTGGGGGCCTCCAACCTTCCTGGATTATTTACATCTGCATTTCTACAGAGCTGGTTTCTGCTTGGGAGAGGGAGACTTGGGGCTATTAAAAAAACTGGGCATGCTTTTCTGCCTCTTTAAGATCCTTTGAGGAAATACATTTTTCTGCCCTTTTAATATTTCCTTCTCTGGAGGGCTGACTTCCCACAGGGCAAAGGAGACATGGAATGAGTAGTAATAGCATAGCACTTAGATTTATATACCACTTCATAGCGTTTTACAGTCTTCTCACAGTGATCTACAGAGTCAGCCTATTTCCCCCAACAATCTGGGTCCTCATTTACCAACCTCGGAAGGATGGAAGGCTGAGTCAACCTTGAGCCGGTCAGCATCGAACTGCAGTGGGCAGAGTCAGCCTGTAATACTGCATGCTAACCACAGTGCCACCATGGCTCAGTGTTGATGGAGGTTGGAAATCTTGACATATCTGCCCTTGGATGGAAGCATCCAGATTATGCATAGGCCAGGGGGGAAAAAATCCACATCCTGCTTTTGTGTGAGTGTGATGGGATACTGATTTTGAAAAGAGGGCTAGAAAGATGGCAAAAGGGCTGATATCTGCCTGTCTCCCTTCTTCCAGGGTGGGGTTGATGATGAGATTTCTCTTTCGGCCTATATCACCATAGCTTTGCTGGAAATGCCTCTGCCTCGCACAGTAAGTAAACACTCTCTGAATTATTTCGGGGCAAACCATTACTATCTTGTGACCAAGAAAATTACTTGTTAAATTTATTTCCCATGTGTCTCGCTGGAGGTCTACTCTAGGCAGCTTCCAAGGATAAAAAGGAAGACTTGAAAAGAGTGTGAACAGAAGTAAGATAACTGAACAATAAAATAAACAAGGGGGTCTCTAAACCTGGCCACTTTAAGATCTGGGGATTTCAACTCCCAGAATTCCTCAGCCAGCAATGCAACACTTGTGATGATGCGCGCATGAGTGGGGCTATGTGTGTGCATGCATACATGCCCATACACGCCCATTTGGTCAGCCACTCACGCAGCCCGATGGCCAATAGGCTGCAGCATGGTAGTGGGCTGCGGCCCACAGGTCGGGGGCCTCTGACCTGGATGACTGAGAATCAACATAGACACTGGCATTTAGCTATACCCCCAGGCAGAATGTGAGATGTTCCTGCTGAACTTGTCCCCTGCGGAATTATGGGCAGGGAGTGAGAAAGGCCTGGATCCAAATCGAACCAGACTTTGTGAACCCCATCAAGTTTTTGTCAATGGCTACAATTTCCCGCCTTACGTTTCTCACCCTCGGCAGCACCTTTTGGTACGAAACGCCTTGCATTTCCTGGAGACGGCATCTCAAGCAGAAGAGATCCATATTTACTCCCGGGCTCTGATGGCGTACACCTTTACTTTGGCCGGGAATGAGGAGAGGAGGCAAGCAATGTTGGAGTCCCTTCAAAAACTAGCTGTGAAGGAAGGTGAGAAGCGTGTGCTTGAGGCAAGGTGGGCGGGTGATGCTCAGACCATTGTGCAGGATGCTTGGCGAGCAACGGAACTTCGTCAGCCCTCTTGCGTTCTGTGTCGGATGTTTGTGGACTTTGGCTTCTTGTGATGCTCTGCTACTTTATTATTATTATTATTATCATTGTTGTTGTTGTTATTATTATTATTATTAATAATAATAATAATATAATACTAATAATACATAAGTAATAGTAATAGTAATAGGTGCCTTGGGTGCAATCCCAAAACAACTGGAGCACCACTTGAACAGCATTGGCTTGACAAATTCACCATTAATCAATTGCAAAAGGCGGCCTTACTAGGAACTGCTTCCATCCTGCGACGATATCTGTAATAATATCAAACATCCACATCTGCTTATCCCAGGTCCTTGGGAAAGACTCGATAGGTAGACAAAAATGCCAAATCCAGTCTGAACATCTGTGCGATGATGATGATGATGATGATGATTATTGATGATGATAATGATAATAATAATGTTGGAAGGGACCTTGGAGGTCGTCTAGTCCAACCCCCTGCTCAGGCAGGAAACCCTATACCATTTCAGACAAATGGCTGTCCAATCTCTTCTTAAAAACTTCCAGTGTTCGAGCATTCACCGCTTCTGGAGGCAGGTGGTTCCACTGATCAATTGTTCTTAACAGTCAGGAAGTTTCTCCTTAGTTCTAGGTTGCTTCTCTCCTTGATTATTTTCCATCCGTTGCTTCTTGTCCTGCCTTCAGGCGCTTTGGAAAATAGCTTGACTCCCTCTTCTTTATGGCAGCCCCTGAGATATTGGAACACGGCTATCATGTCCCCCCCTCATCCTTCTCTTCGTTAAACTAGACATACCCAATTCCAGCAACCGTTCCTTATATGTTTTAGCCTCCAGTCCCCTAATCATCTTTGTTGCTGTTCTTTGTACTCTTTCTAGAGTTTCAACATCTTTTTTACATCGTGGTGACCAAAACTGGATGCAGTATTCCAAGTGTGGCTTTACCAAGGCATTGTAAAGTGATATTAACACATCACGTGATCTTGATTCTATCCCTCTGTTAATGCAGCCTAGCACTGTGTTGGCCTTTTTGGCAGCTGCAGCACACGCCTGGCTCATATTTAGGTGATTGTCGGTGGTATAATATCCTGGACTAAAGAAATGCATTCACTTTTATCCTTGGAATAACCTTTGATATACATAATGAAATCATGCAGCAAGCTGATCTCTCCCTCTGTTCATGCAGCCTAGCCCTCTGTTGGCTTTTTTGGCAGCTGCAGCACACGGCTGGCTCATATCTAAGTGATTGTCCACTTATTATTAAATTTATATAGCCAGCCATTTCACATACAAGTAGTCCTGGACTTACAACCATTCGTTCAAATCTGCTTTTCACTAAATGTATTCTAGTAACACTTGGCATGGTCACCAAGTCAAGCTATTCTCCAAAGCGCCTGAAGGCAGGACAAGAAGCAATGGATGGAACCTAGAACTAAGGAGAAACGTCCTGACAGAACAATTAACCAATGGAACACCCTGCCTCCAGAAGTGGTGAATGCTCCAACACTGGAAGTTTTTAAGAAGAGTCTGGCAGCCATTTGCCTGAAATGGTATAGGGTTTCCTGCCTGAGCAGGGGGTTGGACTAGATGACCTCCAAGGTCCCTTCCAACTTTATTTATTTATTATTATTATTATAGCAAGACCCTCTGATCCTTTATTAAGAAGATCTAAGATTTGGGGAAAGGGGTAGGTAATGCAGAGAATAAGAAAGATAATCTTGATGGACATAGAATCATTATTAAGGTAAAAGGAACTGAATTTTTTTTTTAAGTCCAGAACCACGAGACAACATTTTGAAGCAGTTTGAGCAAATGCTGCCCTATTCACTGGATATAAGAGGGGGAGAAGATCCGGTGCAATTATGGGCGTCCTCAGTGCTCTCTGAGCTTGGTGGTTTTCTTGCTGACATTTCATGACCATATTTCCCCCAAAATAAGACTGGGTCTTATATTAATTTTTGCTCCCAAAGATGCATTAGTGCTTATTTTCAGGTGAGGTCTTATTTTAAGTATTAATTCCAATAATATTTATTTATTTCTATTTAATTATATATTAATGTTATTCTTTTATCATTCAATACGCCCGTCATATGTTGCAATGGACATGCTAAATGCGTCTGTCTGGCTGACGATCTTAACGAGGGTTTATTTTTGGGTAGGGCTTATATTATGAGCATCCTGTAAAATCATGCTAGGACTTATTTTCTGTCTGGCTCTTATTTTGGGGAAAACACTGTAGTAGCATCATCAGATTATGTTATTGCAGCCAATCTCAATGCAGATAGTTTTAGCCTTCCTGAGGAGTTGATTTCCTGGCCTGCTCTACATGCTGGGCTAACAAATAATGGAAAATTTGGAGAGTTACTCAATGAATGGTGTGCCAAGCTTCAGACAGGGTAACACAAGAGAAGAAGCGATGGTTGGAATCTAATCAAGGAGAGAAGCAACCTAGATCTAAAGAGAAATTTCCTGAGAGCCAAGAACAATAAGCCAGTGGAACGGCTTGTGGGTGCTCCATCACTGGAGACTTCTAAGAAGAGATTGGACAGCCGTTTGTCTGGAATAGTATAGGAGCTTCTGCTTGAGCAGGGGGATGGACTAGAAGACCTCCAAGGTTCTTTCCAACTCTGTTATTCTGTTAAATAGAACCACATGTCCTTGAGATGCCAAAGGTACTTGACCAATAGGACTGCCTCAATGGGGCAACCCAATGCTAAAACCCTTCATTCTCTTTCTGAAGAGGATGGCTCCATCCACTGGGAGAGACCTGAGAAGCAGAAGAAGACCCCCGATCTTCCATATTACCAACCCCTTGCTCCCTCTGCTGAGGTAGAGTTGACCGCCTACGTTCTCCTTTCTTACGTGGCCAAAGAACCATCCCCGTTCCAGGAAGAATTAACGACAGCAACTGCCATTGTCAAATGGTTGGCCAACCAACAGAATCCCAATGGAGGATTCTCTTCGACACAGGTACATTCCCTCCCCACATATTCTCAGAGGATAGTGGAAGTTGCTGCCATACTCCCTGCACCAACTTGGTGGACCTGATGTTTTTTCCCGATAGGCCCTCCAGATGTGCCGAGTCTTAACTCCCAAGATTCCAGCTGAGGTGCGCCATCCAAGAGAGATGTCCTAGCTTTGCTTTCTCTTGCAGGATACGGTGGTGGCTCTCCAGGCCCTCAGCCAGTACAAGACAATTACTTATTCCAAGGATGGAGTTGACGCCAGAGTGACCTTGAGTTCTGGAGATGTTGCCCTGACCAATTTCCATGTCGACAGCACCAACTCTCTGCTGCTCCAGTGCCAGGATCTGCCCCAGGTGCCAGGGGACTACACAGCTGAGGTGACCGGTTGCATCTTTATGCAGGTGAGTGTCCTGAGTCAGCCACTGAAGAAGGAAATTGCTTTCCATTGCCAATAAAGATGGCTTGAGCAGATTGAAATGGTATACAGATAGTCCTTGATTTACTACCATTCATTGGTATATAAAAAACGGTTGCTGGAATTGAGTATGTCTAGTTTAACGAAGAGAAGGTCTCAGGGTGACATGATAGCAGTCTTCCAGAATCTCAGGGGCTGCCACAAAGAAGAGGGAGTCAAGCTATTCCCCAAAGCACCTGAAGGCAGGACAAGAAGCAACGGATGGAATCTAATCAAGGAGAGAAGCAACCTAGAACTAAGGAGGAATTTCCTGACAGTGAGAACAATTAATCAGTGGAACCACCTGCCTCCAGAAGCGGTGAATGCTCCAATACTGGAAGTTTTAAGAAGAGATTGGACATTTGTCTGAAATGGTATAGGGCTTCCTGCCTGAGCAGGGAGTTGGACTAGATGACCTCCAAGGTGCCTTCCAACTCTGTCAGTCTATTGTATTCTATTTACTTGCAGGATCCAATCTGGGTCGGTCGCCGGGACCAGAGATTTTGTCTTCTGAGCTTTCGGACTCGTGCTGGAGCCCATCTTCAGGCAACTTCTCTCCAGCAGAGTGTGTGCTGTTCTGTGTGTGGTATTTATAGTGCCTGTTGTAAGTGGCTTTTTAGATGTTGATTGGGGTGTGTTGATGGCTGGCTTTTAAGTCTTTGGCTGTTGTTTGCTTATGCTGCCCAGCCGTCACCTTCTAAGTACTTGGTGGCCTGGTGGTAAATCAGCATTCCTGTTAACTGACAAGGGGTCCATTTCCCAGGCTTCAATCACTCCCCTGGCTGTTTTTGTGCCTGCTCGTCCAACAATCTTAGTTGCTGCAAAATTGAATGTGTTTCCTTGTTCAGTGCAGAGTGAGGCTATCATTGCAGTGTGAGGCTTTCCCAGGCTTCAATCACAGTGATTGAGTAAACAAGCTAACGACTGCTAACGACTTAAAAGCCAGCCATCAACACACCCCAATCAACATCTTAAAAAGCCACACACAACAGGCACTATAAATACCACACCGTGAAGAGCACATACTCTGCTAGAAAGAGTCCGATAGTTTGGAAGACAAAGCCTCTGGTTCCAGGAACTGACCCAGATTGGATCCTGCAACGTTACCCCGGGAGGAATATCTTCGCCTTTGTTCATTCATTTAGTGACCATTTGAAGTTACAACAGCACTGAAAAATGTACCTGTGGCCGTTTTTCACGCTGACGATCATCACAGCATCCCCTGTGGTCGTGTGATCAAAATTCAGCTGCTTGGCAACTGGCTCGTATTTAGGACAGTTGTGGTGTCCCGGGATCACGTGATGCCCTTTTGCGACAAGCGAGGCCAATGGAGAAGCCAGATTCACTTAACAGCCACATTGATAACTTAACAACTGCAGCAAGAAAGGTTGTGAAAGGGGATAACATTCACCGAACAACTGTCTTGCTTAAGCGACAGAAATTTCGGGCTGACTTGTGGCCCATGCCATATTACGTGTATTGCCTATGTTGTGACATCATCGCCATCTCCAGTTGCCACAGAAGCATAAGAACACCTGTTGGCAATGGTGGCGAACATATGTGAATAAGGCAGTGGTGGCGAACCTATGGCACGCAGGCCAGAGGCGGCACTCAGAACCCTCTCTCTTGGCACATGCGCCACCGCCACCAGCAGCAGGTCCATCAGGCTGCCACCGCCGCCCGGAGCAGGAGCCCTGCCCAGCACAAAGGAGGCGAAGCGGCCAACTAGCAAGCTCGGGTACAGGTGGTAGAGCAGAGGTCACCAACCATTATCAATTGGTGGACAGGAAGAAAAGGGAGGGGGAAGCATTTTATATGCGTGCATGTGTGCATAGGACCACGAGCACCAACGCACTGCAAATGGGGTGGGGCTAGTGCCTGCATGATGCTCACTAGCCCTGCCCCATTCTTGCGTGGTGCAGCGCCTTGTATCTGCAGCCTGCGGCGTGGCGGAGGCCATTTTTGCGTCTTGCAGGACGGTGGCCCATTTTTGCGCCCCCGGTTTTTGCGTGCCAGAGGCGGCACTCAGAGACACCTCCTTGCCCCTCCCCTGAGGGCACCACAATGCTGATACAGCCCTGGCGCTTTGGATAAATAAGTGGGTTTGGGGTTGCGGTTTGGGCACTCGGTCTCTAAAAGGTTCACCATCACTGAAATAAAGTATCAGTACAAAAAATTTTGGATTGGAAGGAGATAGAAATGTTCTTTGATAGCTTTCAAGTTCCCCACAATCCTCCCTGGAGAATGGAGCTCTATGTTTGCTAATCTCCAAGTCTTTTGTGAGCACCACATTTGTGGTCACAAACTGTGTCACCTGAAGTCCTTGAGGGTAAAGAACCTGGTGGGGTGGGAGACTAAATTTAGAGGCATAACTTCAGACAAATTCCGAAGGGCCTTGCGGTAGGTTGAATAGTTCCTGGACTGTATTCCCTGCCTTTGTGAAGTGACGGATTCTCCTACTCTGTGGGCCCTTCTGCATTCAAATCTTAACCACGCATCTCGCTTACAACTGCTCATTTGGAGAGAGAGACAAGTGTTCTGCTTCCTTTTTAGACCAGCTTGAGGTATAACATCCATCCACCCCAGGAGGAGGCGCCATTCAAGTTGCTGGTGCAGACAATTCCTCAAAATTGCACTGGACCTAAAGCCCACCAGACCTTTGACATTGCTATCAACGTCAGGTAAACGGGTCAACCCTGAGCACGTGAGCATATGCATGGGGGCAAAGGGAACTTCTCCTTGCTATTTAGCCAGTGCTTCTCCTCCAGGGATGGGCAACTTCTAAGGGTTCGAGGGCCGCAACTCAGCTCCTCCATCTTCTGAAAAGCCAGTGTTCTGCACTCCAGGATGGAGTGGATGGAAGCCCTGGGGGGCACACCCAAGCTTTTATGGACCTGCATGCAGCGTTTCGCCCTTAAGCTGTGCTTTAAACAAATGTGACGTGGCTTCTTTCTTTTCTTGGTTTCCCAGTTACACTGGCCAACGCAAGGTTTCCAACATGGCAATTGTCCAGATTAAGATGCTATCCGGATATATCCCGGTGAAATCAACTGTAAAGTTGGTAAAGACTTTTTTCTCCCCTCCAAAGAATTTTTGTTCTTGGCAGCAAAGCTGGGCCTTAAGAAGTTAAGAATTACCCTTTAATGTTCAATCGGAATCAGAATAGAGCTGGAAGAGACCTTGGAGGTCTTCCAGTCCAGCCCCTGCTCAAGCAGGAGATCCTATACCATTTCAGACACGCGACTGTCCAGTCTCCATTTAAAAAAACCTCCAGTGATGAAGCACCATTGTGCTTCAGACATTGTGGATGCTTCATCACTGAAGGTTTTTAAGAAAAGACTGGACAGTCACTTATCTGAAATGATATAGTGTCTCCTGCTTTTGCTAGGGGTTGGACTAGAAGATCTCCAGGGTCCCTTCCAGCTGTATTCTGATTGATTGAAATACCAAAAGAAGAAGGGACGCAAGCCCTCTATGTAGAATTTTGCAAATTACAATAGGTATTTAATCAAGATAGCATTTAGTTGATCAGGCTGTAGCACGTGTGAGTTAATGAGGTCAGAATGGTGAGGTAATTGGGATGAATACGAAGCTTTCTTAAGTTAAAGAAGTGAAGCCCTTTCTTTTAAGGGTTCTCCCTGGCACTTTATTATAGTTTATTTTCTGAATTAATATTCCTGTAAGGGTCTTAAGAGTGTTGACATTTTATTTTCCCTGAGAAAAATGTATTTGAGGTGGGGGATAATGCCAACGTCTACTTTACTGGTTCTGAATCTTCCTGCAATTCATCTCCAGGGATGATCTCAAGTTTTCCATTTTGAGAGAAAGCCCCTTCCCCTTCTACATAGATAATGCCATCCCTTCCTTTCCTTCATTCCAAGCCAAAGAGTTTGAATTATGACACCAGATTTTCCCTTTCTTCACCAGCTAGAAGAACTTCATTTCGTCCAGCGGGCTGAAATTTCAGCCACCCAGGTCCTTTTGTATTTGGAACAGGTAAGTTGGAGCTGGTAAACGAGAGTTGTGGTGGGCGAACTCTTCCTCCCTACAAGAAGATAGGGCTCATGTCATGTGATAAAATTAGCTTTGGCCACCACGATATAAAAAAGTTGTTGAGACTCTTGAAAGGGTGCAGAGAAGAGCAACAAAGATGATTAGGGGACTGGAGGCTAAAACGTATGAAGAACAGTTGCAGGAATTAGGCATGTTTGTCTAGTGAAAAGAAGAACTAAGGGTGATATGATAGCAGTATTCCAATATCTAAGAGGCTGCCCCAAAGAAGAGGGAGTCAAGCTATTCTCCAAAGCAGCTGAAGGAAAGACAAGAAACAATGGATGGAAACTAATCAATGAGAGAAGCAACCTAGAACTAAGGAGAAACTTCCTGACAGTTAGAACAATTAATCAGTGGAACGATTTGCCTCTAGCCTAGAAGTTGTGGGTGCTCCATCACTGGAGGTTTTTAAGAAAGACTGGACAGCCACCTATCTGAAAGGGTATAGGAGCTCTTCCTTGAGCAGGGGGCTGGACTAGGAGACCTNAATTGTTCTGTTCCTCTCTGACGGGAGGGAGTCAGCTAATCCTCAGAAGTCCTCTATGGACATGGCCAAAATATGTCCTTGGTCTTAGAAGTTCAGGTAACTAGGGAACTTGGAAATACCCTTGCAAGAATAAGGTCCCCATTACTTCTCTGTGGGTAGTTGCATACTTCAGAGAAGACACTTCTCTAGCCTCTTGAATAATCCCATCATTTCTCTTGGTCTGCAGGTCAGCAGTCTAAGCCAGAGTTATTCCTTCAAGGTCGAGCTTGAGACTCCGGTCCAGGGCCTGAAACCTGCCCCGGTGAAAGCCTACGATTATTACGAAACCGGTGAGAAAGGGATCCCAGTGGGGAGAGGCTTGATCGGCGTACTTAATTCAATTATTTTTCAAAATCCATCTCCTTCTTCCAAGTTTACCCCGAACTTCAAAGTGATAAGGTCTTTGACACCAGTTCTTGAAAACAATCTAATGCAGCATTTGGTCGATAGACCAAATTAAATGATGCACTCTGACAGTTCTTCCTCTTTTGTTTGTGTTTCCAGATGACTATGCCATCTCGGAGTACATCGCCCCCTGCAGCACAGGTGGAGTATAAACAGCAATCAGTTTTTGCCAAAATCCCCAATTTCAGACATTTTGTTTTCTCCTCAGAAAACATCACAGGATTGTTTTATTTTAACAAGAACTTCCACATATTTCGATGTTGCTCTGTTTCTGCAGAGTTAAGAACAATCCTTTCCAAAGAGCAGTTAGATGGCTATTGAGCACTTTTTAATGTGAATTTTGTTATAATGGCGTGGAACCCCAGTGTGCAATCTGTATATGGACAGAATCTGGCTGAAGCCCATTTGGGACCTTACACTACAGAAACCAGCCTCTTTTGTGGCTGGGATAGCCCCATGGAATAGTCTGGTTTTCCTACACATATGCTATGTTGACACCTCCCCCAAATGCCGTGGTACGAGCATGCTTACGTATAGTTTTACATCCAGTTTTGGTTGTCATGATATAAAAAAGACATTGAGACTCTAGAAAGAGTGCAGAGAAGAGCAACAAAATTGATTAGAGGACTGAAAGTTAAAACATATGAAAAACGGTTGCTGGAATTGGGTATGTCTAGTTTAATGAAAAGAAGGAATGACATGATAGCAGTCTTCCAATATTTGAGGGGCTGCCACAAAGAAGAGGGGGTCAACCTATTCTCCAAAGCACCTGAAGGCAGGACAAGAATCAACGGGATGGAAACTAACCAAAGAAAGAAGCAACCTAGAACTAAGGAGGAATTTCTTGACAGTGAGAACAATTAATCAGTGGAACAGCTTGCCTTCAGAATTTGTGGGTGCTCCAACACTGGAAGTTTTCAAGAAAAACTTGACAACCAGTTGTCTGAAATGGTATAGGATTTCCTGCCTGAGCAGGGGGTTGGCCTAGAACAGTGGTGGTGAACCTATGGCGCGGGTGCCAGAGGCGGCACTCGGAGCCCTCTCTGTGGGCACACGTGCTGTTGCCCCAGCCTCGCCTCCCCCCACAACCCCCTCCTCTCCAGCAGCCCCCCTGAAGGAGACTCACCCCCGAGCGTGGCCCACATGGAACAGCACAGCCAAGGACATGGCAGCCAGGCAACATAGACAAGACTCTGCCTTCACACCCCATCATGCAGTTAATGATGCAGGGCTTGGGCAGAGGGCGTGACCACCATAGCACTGCTGGGCTGCCTGGGCAATCTGCGGGCAGGCGGGGTGGGGGATGGGGGGTGGAGCCGGGGCGGGGCAGGGGGTAGAGCAGGGGCGGGGCCAGTTTTTGGGCACTCGGTCTCTAAAAGGTTCACCATCACTGGCCTAGAAGATCTCCAAGGTCCCTTCCAACTCTATTCTGATTCAAAATACTTAGATGTCACAGAAGACATAACAAAATACCATCATTTATCCTTACTAACATAACATCATAGCCAGCAGCTACATTGCTAATGATCGGTCTAGTGCAGGAGAAAAGCACTTATTCTGTAAAGCATTGATTATCGGAGCAAGAGAGAGCAACTTCTCTCGAGACCACATGTACACATTATCCTGTTCTCTATAAGAAGAACACTTGTGCTGGATCCAAGCAAAGCCCACTTTAATCCAACATTTTGCTTCTTAACGGGACCAACCAGTTGCTTCTGCTTCCAGATGATCAGCTTCTTCTGCTTCCGTCTGGAAATCTGGAGCCCAGATACATGTTCAAGGCAGATTTTGTATGACCAGTTAGACCTGATCCTCTCCTGCATGTTTTTTATAATTGTTTATATGGTTAATTAATAATAATAATAATAAAGTTGGAAGTGACCTTGGAGGTCATCTAGTCCAACCCCCTGCTCAGGCAGGAAACCCTATACCATTTCAGACAAATGGCTAATTGGTTGATTTATTAGTCTAATCAGGTCCATGTAAGCTCATAACAACCACATAGATTTTCTCCATCACAGTCTGTGCATAATCTGCTCTTTCAGGTCACCCAGTGATGCCCTCATCACCACTGTCACTGAGTCCCTTGCTGCTAATTGTCCTCTTGTCTTACCTTCCACCTTTCCCGACATCAAAGCCTTTTCCAGGGAACTAAGTCTTCACAAAATGTCTCAAAAGTAGGATAATTTCATGTTCAAAGAGTAGCTCTCAGGTGGGAAAGACCAGATTCTCATGATGAAGTTCCAATTAAAGTAATTTATAGCTCGTCCCTACGCTTAGGAATCTACTCAACTAATGATTAGCACTATTTGGTGCTAATAAAGGTAAATGAAATTCAAGGGGAGTCTGTTGGATTTAGTCCATTTGTGGCTATGAAGAGATTCTAAGCTAAGTCCTCTTTTGACTCCACCCCCAGTTTGTGCCATTCTTTCTCCTACCACAAACGAACATCCCAGGCTGGGCTGGACTTTTTTTTTTGTTTGATATAAAATTTATATATTTATTTGTGGAGGCATTTCAATTGCCCCAAAGCTGAAATTCTCTGGGTGGTTGGTTGGCAATAAAACACACTAAGAAAATCACAATTTTAATAAAGACATATGCAATCAAATCAAGTGTGACATGAAAACACCATATAAACTAGACAGCGGCACAATAGCCATATAAAAACTAAAATAATCTGAGTTAAAAGTCAACTTAAAAAAATGGGAACATGGAAAAGTTCTTCACCTGGTGCCAAAATGAGACTCATGTGAGCATCTATTGAGCGTCTCCAGGGAATAATTGCACACATAGAGTGCTGTTACCATAGAAAAATCTTTCTCGTTTGTAAAGGCCATCTCACCTCTCTTGATTTTTTGGGGGGAGAACAATATAAATGTCAAATCTGAGGAATATCTTCACAAAAACACTTTAATTGACTTAGCTTAGCTACAAAACCATGGGAATATCTTGGGATTCAATGGAACATACTGACTAGGAAAACTGTTTGGCCAAAAAACAAAGGGCTAAAGCCAGAATTAAGAAATTAGATGAAGGGATTCATTTGATGGAATATTTAAAGATTAAACACTTGTTTGAATAAGATTAAAGAAATAAAATTTTGAATACAAATGAATCTTAGCTTAGGAGGGACAGGCTCCTTAAGCAATACAGTATTTTTTTTTTGCCTATGATATGAGAAATATAAAAATGTGTGGGAAGATTTATATGAGGAAAATGTATTAAATATTCAAATATAATGGATTTTGAAGATTCGAATATGTTTTTTCAAAAATGAAACATTGATTATTAAGGTATTTTAGTTTAAGAGGGATATGCTTTTTTAGATAGTATATTATTTTTGTCCTTATGAAAAATGTAAGTGTTTGGATGGTTCATATGAGCAAAAAGATTTCAATACAAAAGTGTAATTAACTCTAAAAAAAATTTAACAAGTAAAAAATGCTTTCTTTTGAATATTGTGGGGAAAATAAATTTAAATGAGAACTCTAAAAACAGGATCTAGATGATTAATTAGAAAAGAAGCTTAATAATGAAGTAGAAGATATTCATAGACATTGAATTGTTATTTTTCAAAAAAATTACCAAGAAATGTTTTAATTTAAGGTTGATAAAAGAGAATATTATTGGAAGAAGAGAAAATCAAGGAAAATTACTATGTGGAATATGGAACTATAAAAATTAAATGTTATTGATTATTTGTAAATACAAACACTGTTTACCAAATATTAATGGTGATATGTAAAAAGCCCCTATATATATATAAAAATTTTTCATGCTGTTTCTTAAACAGATGAAGAGGTCAAAAAAATCCGTTAAGCAAGAAAATCTCCAGCCAAGAGAAACAAGGAAGAATCAATCAAGTTTGCTCTCCCCCTTTGTTTTCTGCACAAAACCCCACTAAATGTATGTGCCCAACTTACTGTCAACTTCTGAAATGAACCTGGCTGACGCCATCTTTGTCGATCTAAGTTGCCACCTAGGTTTGGGGGGAAGAGGGGAAGGAACACAAAAGTATTGCTAGACAAAACACAGAGCGGTCCCTTGGGAACCAAGGTCATTCCCATAAGTGCAGGAAGGAGGAGTGGAGATTTGTCCCAGAGCCCGCCAATTGCTTTCATTGGGTAGCATAATCAATAACATAACGCAGGGGAGGGAAATGTTACATTTAATTACACTGAACCCCCAAGGGAAAGTTTAGAGTTGGTTTCACTTTTGGCCATACCCATATTATGTATCCAATAAACATGTGCTTGGAGGAAACTTCAAGCCTCGGAGTTCTGCTTTATTTGGTTGCATTAGTTGGAACCTTCACATTTACACTGTCTTCCAGGAGACTTAGATTTTCACCAGTTATGGTATCAGAAAACCGGGGTGCAGATCGCCACTGCAGATCCAGAGCAGAAATTGTTTTACTTTCTCCAATCATTGGCTGAAATAAAACAAGTTTTTTTTCTATTCTGTCAGAGTTTCTCAAGTGAATCTTTAACTTGAGGATATGTCTAGGGGTGTGTGTAGGGAGTGTTGGGGTACAGGAGGCAGTTTTGCTAAGAGCTGCTCTCAAAATTGGAGAGAACCAGGAAAATCATTGGGGCGGGGTGGGAAACCAAAGTGTGGATTGAAGGAAGCCAAAGCAAACCAAGCGGGAAAAAAATCAGATACGGATTAACATTTAATGCAGTAAATGAATCAATGTATAAAATTAATATTTGGCCGGTTGAAGGTACAGAACAGCAAAGTATACTTACACATAGATATTCAAGATCAGTCATTTTCAAGCATATAGGAGAAGCATTGAAAATTATGATTTGAAAAGTCAACAGGTGAGCTCCACATTTCTCTGAAATTTAACTTTAATGTTTGAGACATGGTTTCCCAATTTTGACCACTTGAAGAAGTGTGAACTCCCTGCCATAATTCCCCAGCCAACCTGGGGGAACTAAAAATGAACTGTGATGGGACTGTTTCTTAAGGTAACCATTTTTACAAATTCAATCCCATTCTTTAGAATCTCTTGTAATGAAAAAACCCTTTCCTTTCCTTTCCTTTCCTTTCCTTTCCTTTCCTTTCCTTTCCTTTCCTTTCCTTTCCTTTCCTTTCCTCTCTTCTCCTCTCCTCCCATTCCATCTCATTCCATGCCATCCCATTG